TTAATAATTATAAAATTTTTAACTTTTAGCCAATTGGATTGAAAGTCACAAAAAGTTACTTACCCATTTATCGATTCATTTATTTATAGGGGACGTCTCCAGACATTTTGTTATAGACTTTTGACGTGGGATAATAATCCATTCGTTGGGTTGTAGTACATTGTAGCCTTGGTTTGGTTGTAGTGTATTGTATATTTGGTTTAACTATGGTGTATTGTACTATTATATAAATAATTATTCATCTTCTATTAAATTAATCATTTCTTCTATCTTTTACTAGTTACTAAAAAATTAAAACTCTCCAAATATTTTAATTAGCACGATTATACTATATCTTGTTTATTGAATATATTTATTTTGTTAAACTCTTAAAATTGCATTTGGTTCTATAATTTTATGTATTATTAAATAATTTTTAGATTGATTAAAAATTAAAAATAATGTTAAAATAAGAAATTATTTTTTAAACTTTTTTTACGTCTAGCTTCGTCTAGACTCGCCTAGTGTGAAACCTCCACGTCTCGCTATGCATTACTCTTTTTAGAACACCTTGTACACATAGACCTACTTTCTTATTCTTTTATGTTTTGAATTTGGTGACTTTTTTATTTTCTCATTTATTTATTTTGATTACATATATCAAGCCATAAAAATATTTGACCCCCTCAACTATTTATAAAAAATCAAATTAGGTTATTGGATCGGATTGACCTATATTCATATTTGATCAATTTAGTTAACGGATTATCGGATTCAAATCTTGGTCAGGTTATCGGATTGAGACCCAAAATCCATCTCCCATTAATTTTATCGGATTCAGATCAAATTCCTATCCATTTGACAGCCCTATCATTTGTACCATTAATGGTGATGAACTGGGGAAGATTTTAGATGTGGGATTTTCCCTTCTTGGTGGTTTGTTGTTTTTATCAAGTTTTTAGTCTCGGTTTTCTTGACGGTTGTGAACAATGATGTGATGATAGGATTAGAGGTGGTGGGTGGAGTCAGGACTGTAGCTATGTCAACGAGCCGAGCCGAGCCTGCCCGGCCCGGCCAAAAAAAAAGAGGCTCGGCCCGAGCTTTCGGCCTCAACCTTAGTGGGCCGAGCCGGCTCTTTTTTTTTTTTTTGTAAAATTTGCATTATTTGAAAAAAAAA